CTCAACAGAGTTTGATAATATTGGAAATTAATGAAGTGATTAAAAAGTGAATGAAATGCTAGGAAAGTGTCAGTGAAATACTGTGCAAGTTCTTCAATGAATTGTTTGTTTTCCTAACCATCAAAGGACTTTTTTAAATTTTCATATTTCATATATATATATATATAAGTGTTCATATTTCATATATTATATATAAAAGTACTAAGAATTTTGTACAAAATGGAGCTTAGATTTTTACCTCAAGCCCTATCTATTTTGTATTTATTAAACAAATTAAAATTTGTTAGAGAAACTTAAAGGATGATGGGTTAGGGCGGCAGTTTTAGCTTTTGCCCCACATCAGAAAAATCAAAGATCCGGCACTGGTCTGCGGTCTGGAGCAGTTTAAAAAATAAACTGTTTTATTAGCATTATGTTTAACGACATAAAAACTGTCTAGTTAATAACATTTAGTTTTATTAATAGTGATATTTAATTACTGTTTTGTTCTGTTCAAAAATTAATTTGCTACTTTTAGAATGATATAAAAGTATAATTGGAGTTCTTGAAAAACCTAGGTGAAGCTCTTGAATGTTCCCAAATTCTAATCATAAGACTGACTTGGGTAAATACACTTTGTAAAAAATGTTGTATTTGTTCAGAAAACCACCATACCCATTAGCAACTTGAACAAAAGATAATGATCTCCAGAACTCATCAAAGAATTTTCAAGGGTTAAGGCTTCAGACAGCTCCATCTTAAGTAACATGTATGGTTCCTTCTTTTGCATCGCTGATTACTAGGGTTGCTTTGGAAAGGAAACCAAGTTTTGGAGTATAAACTGAAAGTGCTTATTTCCTGTGTTTGAGGTGTCTGTTTATGTTAAGCATTTGAAAAATATACAGTACAAAGTCTTTAATCCGGAATGATCTATAATCTGGACCTCAAAGCTACAAACTTTCTGCGCATGCGTAAACGCATAATGCATTGCATAATACGTTTACGCATGCATGTTTAATGAATAACGGACGGTATAAGCTAGGCTAAAATTATCTAATTATTATTTCAGTTAATGTTGCAGATTGCATTGTTCCTTAATCTTCTAACTGAATCCGGCTTATTATTTTTTGCAAACTGTTAGAGCAATTTTATAAAAGTAAGCTTGAACTTTCGATTATGTTAAAAAGAGTTTCCGATTCTGGAGCTGACAAAGGAACAAAGCGAAAGTATATTTCGATGTCCATCAAACAAAAAGAGGAATTGCTGCAAAAAATAGATAAAGGCATATCCTTTGTTTCTCTAACCATTCCGAAATCTGTTTACCAATTTCACGCTGCTCTGCAGGGGGGGGGGACGTCGCAGCACGCAATGAAATGGAAGTTGATCTGTCAGCACTATCCTCATCTTCAGGGCAGATGTTTTTATTTTATTCGGCTTATAATTCCTTACTAAATGTAGTATTTCATCTCGATGTACTCAATCTTTGATATGATTTAAATCAAATTCCTCATGATTATAAATATCACGAATACACATCAAATAGTTTTCTGGTTGCAATTTTCTAATTTCGACTATGCGCAATATACGCTTTACACATGCGCCCGATGAAAGAAATGTTTAATAAAGTAAACAAATAAATATTAAGCTTTTTTTTTTTGGTAAATTTTGATACCCTTTAGATTATAATTGCTCTTTATTTCATAAATTATAGTTTCATATTTTTAATTTTATAATTTCTGCATGCCATCTTACCAGATTTAAATTGACGATCTATAATCCGTAAAAACCCTAATCCAAAATCTCCGAAGTCCTGACGAGTCCGGATTAAAGACTTTGTACTGTATTTGGAAGAAAGGGTGAGCTTTAGGAGGTTGTGTCTCTAATTTGTGAACCTTTATTTTTTTGCTTGCTTGTTTACTCATTCCAAGAAAAACACATGTCTTGTGAGCCATAATCATTCTTTGATAAAAATTAAATTTCGTATTTAAGGATGAATTTTTTTTATATCAACACAACTTTAATAGTAAAACAGCTCAACGAAATTTTTAATAATGTAAAGAAATTTAGACATTATGTATAGAATATCATTATTAGTAGCCTTAAAGCTGAATGATCTTTCAATTAGATGAGCAATATCTTCAACAGATCTTAGGTTGTAGAGCCTATTTCAGACTTAATAATTATCTCCTTAAATGGGAAATTTCAAATAGAATTTTACCCTAAATCTTATCCAAAAATATTTTTTAAAATACATTGCTTGGCCTTATAAACTCTTAAAAGATCAACTGAGATAAAAGAAGAAAATAATCTGAGGCACTTTTGGAATAAATTTTCTACATAATTAAATTTACTCACTTTTTATGTAATATCTCCAATATTTTGTTTGCATTTTTGAGTTAAGTAAAAACTAAAAAAATTAATATTTTTTATGAGATGAATTGAGAGTTTTTCATTAAAATTTTGACAGGTCACGACTGTTTGAAGTAAACTCAAGTGAACTACTGCATAACTGCTTTCTCATCACAAGGTTATTCTGCCAAACTAAGGACAAGATAATGTTTTGATTTTAAAATGAGATGATTAATGATTATAAATTATGTAAAAGTTTGATGGTGCCATAGAAAATATAACTTGAAAAGGGATCCTGCAAGGGTCCCTCTTCTGCAACTTTGTCGAGTATGGATTTTTGTGGAGTTTTCAACATTGTGGAGTGTGGATCTCCCAACTTTGTACAGAATCCTGAAATTTAAACTGGCTCTGCGTTTTAGAATCATAAAACTTTTTTCTCCATGTTTAATTCAGTTTTAAAAATTACATATATTATATAAAAATGTTTCATAAATAACTTTAGCTAAGTCACTATGATATAAATAACTATTCTGCATTCTACAGAATTTTATCATTATCATTAGATTTTGTTTTTACGCATGTAGCAGTGTAAAATTAAGAGAGAAATCTACAACATAAATTGATACATAAAATTTAAAATATTTATTATTTGTATTATTGTATAAATATTAATAACCTCTTACAAAATGTTTTATATCAGTTTGATAAAGACAGTAACAACCTTCATTAGCACAGTCAAGGTAAAATATATTACAAACCTTTACAGCTGTCATCTCCCTAAGATTAATTTCTTTGATAGTAAATATTATTCTAAAATTTAATTAAGTAAAGATATCTAACCTTAATATTAACGTTCTTTGATATGATCACTGTCCTGAAGCACAAAATAGTCTTGAACCAAAGGTGGAAAAAGTGTCAATATAAAATTTCTAAGGAAAGCGAAAAGAAGAAAAAATTTTTAAATATCAGATCTTTCTTGATACGTTACTTTTAACTCTTTGAAAGCCAAAATGCCTGAGATGATCTTTCATTCAAACAACCAAAACTGCCTGAAACGGCTGAGACTGCAATGCTGTTTTCTTCCCTTTCCCCAAGGTATGCAGTACCAAGTGCAGTTTCCCCAAATGCATTTGCATCAGTTTATTACAAACAGCTTGTCCTAAAATGCTAATGGAAACTTCTCTGCTAAGAAGTAGAAATCTACTTTGAAATCTTCATACCTCTCTCTGCATTAATGGACAAAGGAAAGAAACTGACAGAACAGAGATGAGTGTTTTGGTATTTTAAGCATACAGGTTAGAGAAGGTTTTCGTTTTCTAAGGGTTAAGCCAAACAGATTAATTTCTGCTATAATAACAACTAGTTTATTTCTCTAGCTTTCTTTTAATTACAAAATCTTGAATCTTGGGGTCATTAAGCAGCCATGGGGCCCTTTGATAGCCATCAGGTATGCTATTTACTGAACAACTTGTGGCAGTATTTCTCATACTATGTTACATTACATTTTATTTGATGATACAATTTTTACACAAAAGATTTAAATGAATGCTCAAAATGAATGTAAAATAACATCCCTTTTGCACATATATATATTGGTACATAATAATATATGATGGAACATATATAATATTTTTTTTTCCTTATTTATGTGTTGAAATGTTTGAAAATCCTTGGCCTATAGTAAGTTAAGATGATTATATAATAACATAACACCCACCATTTTTTTTTTTTTTTTTTATACAGTTTTTCACAAATATGCTAGGTGACAAGTTATTTTAGTATTTTCAAAGCTGTTTTAAGATCCAACTTCCTGCATTTTAGTATTTTTGAATAATTCGGAGCTGCCATCATGAGAAATACAAAAAGGATATTTTAGAGCTTCAAAATTACTTTATGAAATCTATGTAGACTTAGCATTATCACTTGAAGCCTACTTTTCCTTATTCTTGCAGACCTGACATTATAACTTGAAGCATATTTTTTCTTATTCCTTTTATTATCACTTGAGGCCTATCTTTTCATGAAACAAATACGCATTCATATTGGAAAGTACAAAAGTAGGCTTTTACAGTACTTGATAAAATTACGAAACTGTGTGTTAGCACTCAAAAAAGACTGATTTTAGTCTGTGTGTGTGTGTGATTATGGCAAAGCCTCGAGGGCTATCTGCCTAAGGGGAGGGATGCCTTCGTGGAGGACTTTCTAAGGGAAACTGGCTCGTATACATGTTACACATGGGCAAAACCACGAAAACGCCCATGCCAGCCCGTTCGCGGGATTCGAACCAAGGACCGAACTACCAGTGTTCAGCGACTTTACCGCTCGGCCGCTGGTGGGCAATTTTTTTTTTTTTTTTAAGTCTGAGGAACAATTAAATATATTTATTAATAATAATCATTGATATGATAGTGAAAGAACAAACGCAGATTCTACAATTTTACTTCAAATACAGCGAACTTAAGGTTCTAGATGACTGCCGACTGTGCTTTCGGGAACACGATCAATACCAACGTATATACTTTTTAAGAAATACTGATAATTATCTTACAATCTAAAATTTTACAACAAACAATATATTTTTTTTTTATTATTATCATTTTCGCTTCCACTTGAAGATAACCATATTGATTCAAAGAACTTTAAAAATGACTCATGGACATATTAAAACTTACTATATTTTAATAGTGTATAGTTTACTCTAAATATTCGATATTTCTCTCTAGCCGATGAGAAAGTAAACAATAGACAGACAGACAGACAGACAAAGTAGACAGATGTCTTGTTTTGCACCCGCTAAGTCTTTCTGCACCGATGGGCGAAAAATCAAGCATAGGTGCGAAGGAAAGGTATATAGAAAGAGGGGCAATTTCGTATTTGAGGAGAGTAAAAGGGAACTTCGTACATCTTGTACGAGTTCAAAAGGCCAGGAAGAAAAGATGGGACAAAATAAAATTTAAAATAAATGGCCCAAAAATAATAGAGGGAAAAAGAAAAAAAAAAAAAAAAAAAAGGGCCTATAGAAAGAAAAGGAAAAGAAGTAGAAAATATCCTAAAATACGATTGTGTCCATGAGTGTAGTTAAAAGGAGAAGAAACTGTCTTCATTTACAATAAATAGTGTCTCACAGGTGTGTTTGTGTAGTGAGTGTGTTTGGTAATGGTGAATAGATGTGTTACTGGGGAAAAAACAAATATTGACGGTGTTAAAATGCTTCGTATCAAGGTATTTAGCATGGAATATAAAGTAATATGTACGCTTGCATCCTGAAATATCAACAAAGGTCATCAAAGAAAGTAAACAATGAATGATTTCAAACGTACGCCGCTTGCAGTTGTTGCCACAACTCACAAAGTGTGGCTTCACGGCAGCGAATGATACGTCTAAATATTTTTCCCACATTTTGATTAAATATTGAAAATAATTTAGTTTGAATAAATAAATATAAAATGTATATATTATTATAAAAGCGTATACTGATTATACGCTAGGTAATAAACATTTGCCTAGGTAAGTTTATAATATCAATGCCTATATCTTGCATATAATAGCCATGTAACGAGATTTGAAAATTAATTATCATTTATCAACTAGATAATTCCTTTATACTAATATCATGGCCTAGAAAATTCAAATTTAAAAATAAACCAGAAATTTATTTCTGTATCAAAAGTTCTTAAACGTGAAACAGAGTTACAACTCAACTTACCGAGATTAAATAAAGGTTGAGAAAGGCTTCAGCAAGGTTCACGTGTACAAGTTAATAACTCACAAAGTATGTTCATTTTTATGTGAAAATTTATTGTATTTATGTATCTTACATAGCATTTCAACTGTGTAGTATAATAATTTAAATTTTTAACTTGAATTTATGTACTATTAATGTAATTTTGATATTACCCTTCTTCACGTGTCATAACCATTATACCATTTTTCTCTTGTATTTCATGTATTCACATTAACGTTTAAATTTCGAGCATAATTCAGATTCAGCAAACCTTCATTATATTTTTTAATCTTTGAAAAAAATATTGTTATTTCTTTATAGTAATTGCTGTGATCCAGAAGTAGTTGCTATTTTTTCTTTGCTAGCGTGAACTAATTCATTGCTGTAATTAATCAGTCCTATTTTGAGTCAGTAATTAATCCATTTTGGGAAGAAATAAACAACTTGGATACTGAGAATGTTTTATCAGATGCATCATTCTCAGAATGCCACACATTTTGTTATTGAATAATCGAATAACAACAATAGCTTAGTTTCACCATATACCAAACCATGCACTTAGTTTCACCTTCGCATGCGTTTTTTTAAATAGTTACAAATCTCTGATTAACCCTTTGAGGGACGCAATGTTATGATTTTTTAAAAGTTATGAAAAAGTAAGCATAATGACATGCAATGGTCCTATAGACAACATAAATGAGTTTAAGAAAAATTTTTTCGTCCCCTTTTACTGAAAGGGGACCGGTTTCGCCTTGAAACCAGCGCCCGTCTAGAGCATTTAAGACTAAACATTTGCTTATTTATCTTTACTTTGCTGAAAAGTATCTGAACGTAACCCAAATTGCAGATTATACTAGTAAATTACTGAACAACTAATGAAGTAAGTAATATTTGCATAAACACGCATTTTTAATTATAAATAAAAAATTTAAAACAGGAAACAAAAAAGTATGAGACAAAAGTAACTAATAATGTACTAAATTACTTGCATAAAACTGAAATATTTGTTAAAAATTATGTTTTAAAAACTAAGAAAATTATATGTAAAAAAAAAATAAATTAAGATGCATACAATTATTTTGCTATGAACTAGAAGGATGAGAAAAGTGACCGCTAAGGGAAGCATAATAAAAACGCAACTGTGAGTGTTTTTCAGTGTGCTCTGTGTCTCAAAAGCTCCATAAATCCTCATCTTTGAAGCCACTCAAATGAAAATATAAAATATTGTGCAACTGTTTACAGCAGTGATCAGAAGCAAAAAACACAACTGCAAAAAATCTCGCAACTGCGTCATCTGATCCTTTCTTGGATGTCCCAAAGGGGCGGTGGTTTCATACTGAAACCGCAACGAAAACATTCAAAATTAAAAGGGTTCCATTACTTTTTTTTGTGAACTAAGGACATTTCATTACTCATTGATGCCTGCTTATAAAATATATTGTGGATTTTTTGTTTTTAAAATGGGTCAAAAGGAGTAGTGTGCAAAAGAAGCTATTTTTGAATGATTCGTATGAATTAATGGATGCCCAGAAAGGTTTGCTGCTGCCATCTGTTATCAGCTTTAAGAAGTAATTTAATTTTAGCAGCGGTTTTGAGGGAAAAAAAAAAAACAAATTTTCAAAATTTAACAGAAATGTTGAAAATTTGGTTTCAAGGCGAAACCACCGCCCCTGAAAGGGTTAATCGTATGTATTCCTTTGCTTTCTGGATGTTAACACCTATCATACGCTATAGCATACAATGTCTCACAAAAGTGATGGGACACTTGTGCTTTACAAAAGGAAACTGTAGTAAAATAAATTAAGAAAACATGTAAAATTTTTTGTGGGTGTGTTTCATACTTAAATTTAGTAACAATTATTACATAACATAATTTTCTCAAAATATTAATTTAATAAAAATATAATTGTTTAGAACGGAGCAAAAAAGGGCTAACATAAGTGATGGGACACTTATTTTTCCATCAAATATTTATCCAAAAATTTTACTTTTTAAAAGGTTTTAATATTTTGTTGGATTTACTTTTACTTTTAAAACATGATTTAATCTTCTTGGAATGGATTCGACTAATTTTTTTTTTTTTTTTTTTTTTGTTATTTCTGGAGTGATTTTACCCCATTCTTCTTGAAGCACCGATTTTAATTGTTGTTTTGAAGAAATGGTGTGTTTGCGAATTCTTGATTCCAATTCTTGCCAAATATTCTCTATGGGATTTCATTCTGGAGATTGTGGTGGTGTTTTATTATTTCAGGATAGTTATACAGCAACCAGAGTGTAACGTTCAAAGCAATGTGCTTGGGGTCATTGTCCTGGCAGAATTTAAAATCGTTATGAAGGTTCAAACTTTCGTGCTGAAGATACAAAATTTTGATTTAAAATGTCAATATACTTGTCCTGATTCATTAGACTGTCAATAAAATCAAATAAATCATTAAATCATAAATAAATGTCAATAAAAACTGTCAATAAAGATTACGAACTCCAGCGGACGACATACACCCCCATACCATAACTCCTCCACCACCATGTTTTACTGTTGGCACCAAGTTCTGTTTACGAAACTCTTTTCCCTGGGTTTTCCTGGGTTTACACGCTAAGATTCTACCGTCAGAAACCAAATATTATTAAATTTACTCTCATCAGCAAATATAAGTTCATTCCAGTAATCAGAATTCTTATTTATGTTGGATTTTGCGAAAGCCAGTCTGAGTTTTCTATTTTTTTCACTTACGAAGAATTTTTTCCTGGCTGCTCCACCGTGATATCCAGCAGATTGAATTACTCTTCTAATAGTCTCAGGATTAACAATTACTCCATATAATGCTTGTAAATCAGCAGCAACTTTAGGAGCACTCATTCTTGGATTTTTTTTTTTAATATTTCGAATGATAATTCGCTTTATTCCATTGGATAAGCTTTGATGGTCGGCCAGGTCTTCTTTTATCCTGAATCATATGATTTGTTTTATATTGTTTAATGATCTTGAAAACTGCTGAATAACTTAAGTTAACTGTTTGAGCAGTTTTTCTTATAGATTTTCCACGTTCAATATGCAAATTAATAACTAATTTTTGAACTTCAGGCAAAGTTTCTTTTTGTTTAGAATTCATGGCTGCACAGAGCTAAAAAACTCAAAAATTCCAAAACAGACTGGTGAGAAATACTTCAGACGATTTTATAAATTATTGCCAATTGCTTTTGAGTAAAAATAAAAACCCCAAAAATATTTTTATTGTAGTACGTAGTACAGTCAAAAGTCGTTAATCCGGACTCGTCGGGACTTCGGCGATTCCGGATTATAGATCATCAGTTTAAATCTCGTAAGATGGCATGCAGAAATTCTAAAATTAAAAATATGAAACCTTAATTTATGAAATAAAGAACCATTATAATCTAAAGGGTATCAAAATTTACAAAAAGAAAAGCTTAATATTTATTTGTTTACTTTATTAAACATTTCTTTCAATGTAAGTTGTTTTAAGTTGCTTCGTTTTATGTGATAATACTTTCTCTTTAATTCTATAAACAGACACAATTTCTTGTTCAGTTACAAAGTTTCGCTGGTCAAGTCCCGTTAATTGTTGTGCCGAGAATACCGAAGAACTTGTCAATCGAAATTTTTTCGTTTTCACCAACCTCTCTGTTACATTCTTCATGTCTTTATCCACTTTTTTGCAGCAATTCCACTTTTTGTTTGATGGACATCGAAACATACTTTCGTTTTGTACGATCCTTTGGAAGCTCCAGAATCGGAAATTCTATTTGACATAATCGAAAGTTCAAGTTTACTTTTATAAAATTGCTATTACAGTCTGCAAAAAATAATAATCCGGATCTAATTCGAAGATTAAGGAACAACGCAATCATCAACATTAACTGAAATAGATAACTAGATAATTTTAGATTATGCCATCCGTTATACATAAAACGCGCAATTGAAAACGTATTCTGCGCTTGCGCACACGCGTATGCGCGGTGGTAAAAGGTCTTACGCGCACGCGTAAATGCCTATGTGCATGTGTCAACGCGGCGCATGCGCAGAAAGTTTTTAGCTTTGAGGTCCGGATTA